AAAATTAACGGATACGGATATCCGTATTCAATCCGAATTGTCGGATCCATCCGAATTATTCGGATTACGGATCGAAACACTAGTGACAAATAACTATGTCACAATATCATTTATAAGTCATTTTTAAAGTAACTAGTCATCTAGTTTTTAAAATGACAGTGACTAGTGATTAAGTCATTTAAATTACTATAGTCATCAAAAGTGACTGTCCATCACTCACTGGTTGTAAGTTGTAATAACTTACCTGACTATATATAGTAATATACTTACTTACCGGTACATCATATGTTACATTATATATACCATACGGGTAATTATATATAAAATTGGACCAGATCACGTATTCTGATTGGTCGATCAGGAGATATATCAGTTAAAAGTAATACGAAAATTCTCGATTATTTTCTAACGCATAGAGTCTACAAAATGTCTTGGCTTATCGATGATGCCAGCTGCGGAACATCAAATCCTGTTTCGGGTTTGATGAAGCAGCTTGTGCAAGACAAGTCTTTGCAACAGGTAAAATGTCACTGTGTCGGCGTTGCTTTTTAAATTTTTTACTTATATCACTTTTTTGATCATGTAGGATAGATTTATTTCAGATCAACTGAATGAAGGCACTTCCAAAAAGGTACATTATACAGTTAAGATTTGTAGTCTTAAAGGTTCTTTTCAATTATATAACTTTATTTCTATCATAGACTTTTAGGTCACGTACAGAAGTAGATGCATATAAGAATGAGGTACACCTTCCTATAATAATTTAATGAATTTTCTTTTCATTTGTTTATATTAATTTGTAAGTTTTAAAATATTCCATTAGTACGAGAAGTTTTTCAATCAACCGGGTCGTGAACCTGATGTTTATGATCTAGATCAAATGGGCAGGGAGCTCCAAACAATTATGCACAATACACAAGACAACGAAGATTGGGTTCACAATTTTCTAAATCATCCTAATTCAATAATTGATGATCCGTTGAATCATAACGTTACTTATGAAAAGATTTTTAATAATGCTAATGTTCAAGGTACATAAAAAATTGAAATTTTGACTTCTGTAATTCACAAATATTCAAATTATTTTTATATAGATGAGTGGATCAATATGTATCTATCTACAAATCAAAATCCTAGCAGGCTACCTCCAAATGAATATACCGCATTTGAGAAAGCTTTTCATGATGCAAATAAGAGTATGAATCTTTTTAATTTCTTTCTTTCTTGTTGGAATTCGCTCATGTACTTATTAAACTTGTATTGTCTTTTGGAAATAGACATAGATTGGGAATCCGAATTCAATGCTATAGAAAAATTGCAAGAATCTAATTCCGTTTCTCAAGATAATTTATGGGCAAATAAATTTCATCAACAAAGTACTTCTCAAGATAAATTATGGATAAATGAATTTCAGCAACAAGATGATGAATTGGACAAAAGTATTGCAAAAACTGAACTAGCAAAGACTGCTGGAAAATTAATTGAATCAATAAAAGACGAGACAAATCCCAAATTTAAGAATTCATCTTTTATGAAATTTATGCAGCAATTACGTGATAATGAAGTTTCTATAGAAGGAAACAAAATTGTTGAACAAAAATCTCCTGTATCTAATGGTGGTTGGGCATCTGAGTTTGTTGTTGAGCAAAAATCTCCTGTATCTAATGGTGACTGGACATCTGAGTTTGTTGTTGAACAAAATTCTTCTGTATCTAGATCTAATGATTATGTCAAATAAGTACACATTAAATAAAAAAAATAATTATAAAAGTGAAAGCTTTTCGAAACTTTTCAAGGATCACTACTTATTAGTTATATATACAGTACCATCCTTCATTATCGTGATTGTTAATTGATTAGTTTTTTAATTAGATAATTTTACATTTAATTTAATATATATATAGCTATTATTATATAAATTCTTTTATCGTAATAAACTATAATTTAGATAAAACATTAGTAAATTTTGCTAATAATTTTTATAAAAATAATAATCTAGAAGAAAACAGCCACTCAAGTCACATGGTAATCTATTTTATTAATATATAGAACCTTACTTAAGTCAATGATAGTATGTGTTTGAATTCGAACTTGTCAAACTGAGGCCCATGAAAAAGATATATCGATATGTAGTTAGATATATCGATATGTAGTTTGATAAATAAGGTCTAAAGTCGCCAATAAGCGAGGCTTAGAGGCCTTACCCGGGTCGGGACGAGTCAACTTCTTGACGTGTCACGGGACCAATTTACTAATATAAAATTAATCATAATTCGGGCCAACTGGCCTAAAAAATTTTTATAATTCGGGCCGGCATTTCAGCATGACCCACAATAAATATAAAGAATTAAATACACTTTATATAACTGATAACGATAAATTATATTATATATAATGAAATTACTAAATAGCTACCTAAAATTTTACATATAATAAATGAATACTCCATAGTATTTAGTTCAATACAAAATACGTGTAAAGAAATTTTAAGTGAATTAAATTACTATTTTGTTTTTCAGTATGACACAAAACCAGTCCGACGCACCTCAGAGTCGAATTTTAATTTTTCGCGACTCAATTTTAAACCTACGCTTATTACGCTTATTCTAATCTGAGGTACGACATACATAATATATACTGTATATATATATAAATTTAATTTACTGCCAGGTTGTTACAGCTGTTTTCATTACTTTTGGGGCATCTGAAAAATTTTTTGATGGTCGAACCGATAAGTTACTGACGTCGGCCAACATCAAAAACTTGTCGATTCGGTCATCAACAGCTGTAAAACATATCGACATAAAAAAAATTTTCAAAATTTGACCCGGCCGAGTTATGAGAACTAATTAATTTTGCATGGCTTACATGAACTATTTAAGTTTTTTAAAAGGTCGATTATGGGTCCTCGTCAAATTCACGTGATTTGTCAATACCTGTTAACGTTAAATCATGGTTTCATTGTTGGTGAAAAAAAGAATCACGATTACTAAAAAAGAACGTTAATTCACGATCTGATTTGATCCACGTATCAATAATTTTATTAAGATCGAATAATAGAAAAAAAAGCAACTTTAACGTCAATCGAGATGGCATCTGCAGTATTTGTGTTGGATCTAAAAGGAAAAGTTCTTATTTCCCGTAATTACCGTGGCGACATTCCAATGTCAGCTGTAGAAAAATTTATGCCTTTGGTTTTAGAGGCTGAAGAAGAACAACAAGCACCAACACCTTGTTTCACTCATGAAGGAATAAATTATTTGTACATACGCCATAATAATCTATACTGTATCCTTTGTCTATAAGTATACTGTGTGATTGCTTGCTTAATTTCATTTACTGTCATGGTCTCTTAACACGAAATGATTGATGGTTTTGGTAGTGTTAGCCCTAACAAAGAAAAATTCTAATGCAACCACGATTTTACTATTCCTTCATAAATTGGCCGAGGTATTTTTCTTTGAAATTAAATTATGATTCAATTCATAATTTTAAAATTTATTAATATAGAATATATTAATATAAAAACACTACAATTTAAAAATTAGGTCTTTACAGAATATTTTAAAGAACTCGAGGAAGAATCTATTCGTGATAATTTTGTCATTATTTATGAATTACTTGATGAAATGATGGACTTCGGTTACCCTCAAACCACTGAAACTAAGATATTACAAGAGTAAATTTTGAGTTAATCATGCTAATTTAATATAAACGAACAGTATATTAACAAGATTAATAATGCATATATATATATATATATATATTAATACAGGTATATAACTCAAGAATCACATAAATTAGAAATTCAAGTTCGACCACCAATGGCAGTAACAAATGCAGTTTCATGGCGTTCAGAAGGCATAAAATATCGAAAAAATGAAGTTTTTTTGGATGTCATTGAATCCGTAAATTTATTAGTTAATGCAAATGGAAATGTGCTACGTAGTGAAATCCTTGGAATAATTAAAATGAAATGCTATTTAAGTGGTATGCCTGAGTTAAGACTTGGACTAAATGATAAGGTCATGTTTGAAAGCACTGGTCGATCTCCTTCTCGAGGGAAAGCCATTGAAATGGAAGATGTAAAATTTCATCAATGTGTTCGATTATCTCGATTTGAGAATGATCGTACTATTTCATTTATACCCCCAGACGGTGAATTTGAATTGATGAGTTATCGATTAAATACACAAGTAAGATAAATCATTTTTTATCATGAAAAATATCTTTGGTCTATTATTATTTATTAAATTTTTATTATCTATGTTATTAGGTCAAACCATTAATTTGGGTTGAAGCAATCGTAGAAAGTTATGCTGGTTCTAGAATTGAATATATGATTAAGGCAAAAGCCCAATTCAAACGGCGTTCGACGGCGAATAATGTTGAAATATACGTCCCTGTTCCTGATGATGCAGATACACCAAAATTCAGGGTATTTGATATAACATTTTAAATGATAATAGATAATATATAGTTATTGAATGCGAAGCAGCCAATAATAATAATAATAATAATAATAATTTCTAATTCATAACAGAGTAGTATTGGTTCTGTTCATTACGCTCCTGAGAAGTCTTGTCTTGTTTGGAAAATCAAACAATTCCAGGGTGGTAAAGAATTTTTAATGCGTGCTCATTTCGGACTGCCTTCAGTAAAAAATGGTACGTTTTTTATTAAAAGTTGAGAAATAAATTAGCATTATTATTAATATGGTTTAATTATATAAAAATTAAATGTAGTGGATGATCCTGATAAAAAACCACCAATTGGCGTCAAATTTGAAATACCTTATTTTACTACATCTGGGATTCAAGTTCGCTACCTAAAAATCGTTGAAAAGAGTGGTTATCAAGCATTACCTTGGGTGAGATATATCACGCAAAATGGAGGCAAGTTATATTCTTATATTGTTTCTTAGTTTTCATTAATTTTTCTTACTTTTCTTACTATTTCATTAATATAGATTATCAATTACGTTTACCTGAAAGCATTAAAAATAACAAGATGACACCTATTTAAAATATGTAAACTTTAAAGCAATAGATAGACATTAAATAAACATATTTTGTAATCACGTGCAATACTTTATTTTAATTATGTAATGGTGACTCCTTGTAACTAGGTATTTTTACCTTTGAAATATAATATAAATACTGTAAGCTATACATATAATTTTTTATACTATGCTGGGTGTTTGATAAATCTTTAAACAGAGCTTTTTTTTAAAAATATTAAAATATTAAATATATATATATATATTTTTATACTATATACAGTATATATAATATAGTCAATTTTTTTATAATTAACATATTTGAAATATAGAAAATTGTAATTATACAGTGGTAGTTATAATATCTAAAGTTCTGGTTTTAAAATTATATAATATATATATACTGTATATATTTATAGTATTGCTATATATTAATTTACTCTATAGATTTTTTATTTTTATTTTTTGGTGTTAATATGATCTCTTTGGCCAGGGAACTTTTTATTAGAATATATTTTAGTTACAGTAAGGATACATCAAGCCACATATACACTTTTGGTGTTTAATTTAAGTAGTTTGCCTGAAGCATTAGTGCTATGCTAGGGTTTTTATACTATCTGTTGCACCTACAGAATACCCCAACTATATAAAATACTCATTTAAATAGGCTTTCGCAGGGGCTAGGTAGGGCCAGATACTAGCAGTACTCTAACCCTACCCACCTATAAAAGGGCTTAACTATTCGAGCAGCATGATAGAAAGTTCTTTTGATTGGTTACTGTAGTACAACTGTAATGTCGATCGTTATACAATTATTTATATTAGTTTTAGAGTACTTCCTATATAAAAATGCAATCATCCATATAACAAGTGGCTAAGCATGTTACTTACAATTAAATAATTTTTGGAATACATTTGTCTTTCAATTTACTAGCAGTTAGCAGATTTAATCCTATATAATCCTATTTCTGAAAGACTTTTACTAATGCTATATTCTTGCTAATAGCCTAATAATATATAGCTAAGCAGGCTTGTGAAATTTTTTGCTTTTTTTTTTAAAAGCATTATTTCAACAGCTAATATAGTTTTTGTAATCAAAATAATAGGCAATTACAAAAGAGATTCGAATAATATATGTATGTAACTAGATACTTGAGTTGTTTAAAGGGAGTTAGAATACAGTAGAGTATGCTATATTATATTGGAGTATAATATTAGTGTAATTATCAAATTTTTGTCGATTTCATATTATAAATTATAGCAAAACAGATAAAGCTTTGTATTAAAGACATATAGACTTTCAAGTATTAAAAAAAGCGATTGAATGGTAATTAAACTTTAGTAAAGAGTTGGGAGCTTTTTTTTTTAGTATTTATAAAAGAAATCTTAAATAAAAAATAATAATTCAACAAGAAGATAGTTTTTATAGATAGTGTAAATATAAAAAAAGTAATTGAATAGTAATTGAAATTTGAGAGTTGGTTTTTTTTTTAAAAGTATTTTAAATTATTATTTCAATATCTAATATAGAATGTTCTCAAGTGCCTAAGTCAATTGATTAGAAATAAGATTTTAATTAGCTAAGGCTAAAAAAGTTGATCAAATGAATTGTTGCTTTACTAAAAAAAGTCTAAAGGCATAGCTATATATATTTTTTTCATTGAGTTAATGCCGATTGGCTAATATTGCTTATTAGCAGAATAAAAAGTAAATTATTCAAGCATTTTGTTTTATGTTATAGATTCTTGGTGAAATTATATTTTTATCAATACTATATTCATTGATCATATTACTCATATTAATCCATAACATTAAATTCAGAAAAATAAATAGAATAGAAAAGAGAAATAGATATTTGTTTAAAAAGTCTTGATAATTTTAAAGATATAAAAAAAAGTTTTTAAAAATATAAATATTATACTATAATTTGTTTAACCAAAAACCCAAAAGATATCACTATAATTCCAAAACTATAAATATTTGATATTTGAGTATATAGTTAACCAGTTCTTAAGAATAATCTAATAATAATATTATAATAGTTGTATACTATCTTAATACTAAATAATCACATTAAGTATATTGACTCAGAATTATTTGAATCTACTATATATTTCAATTACAAATTTTAAATTTATATTAGTCAAAGTAATATTTCAAAAATAATATAGCACTTAAAAAAAAAAACACAAAAGCTAACTTACAGCAATTTCAATTACTATTTAATCGCTTTTTTTATATTTATACCATATCCATAAAAACTATCTTCTTGTTAAATTATCTTTCACTTAAGCATCATTCAGATTTCTTTTATAAAACTAAAAAAAAAAAAAAAGCCCCCAACTCTACCAAATTTTAATTACTATTTAATCGCTTTTTTTTAATACTTGAAAGTCTACATGTCTTTAATACAAAGCTTTACCTGTTTTGCTATAAATTATAATATGAAATCGACAAAAATTTGATAATTACACTAATATTATACTTCAACATGATATAGCATACTCTACTGTATTTTAACTTTCTTTAAACAACTCAAGCACCTAGTTATATACATTTATTATTCGAATCTCTTTCGTAATTACCTGTTATTTTAATTACAAAAACTATACTAGCTGTTGAAATAATGCTTTTGAAAAAAAAACAAAAAATTTCACAAACCTACTTAGCTATATATTATTAGGCTATTAGCAAGAATACAGTATTAATAAAAGTCCCCTGAGAATGAGATTATATAGGATTAAATCTGCTAACTGCTAGTAAATCAAAAGACAAACATATTCTGAAAATTATTTAATCATAGATAACATGCTTAGCCACTTGTCATATAGACAATTGCATTTTCATATAGGAAGTATTCTAAAACTAATATAAATAATTGTGTAATGATCGACATTACAGTTATACTACAGTAGCCAATCAAAAAACTTTCTATCATGCTTATTCAGACCCTACCCTTGCCCTAGGGTTTAGAATCTAGTACTCATACCTGTTCCATGTAAGCTAGAGTAGTGATTTAAGCTGGCTATAGTAGTCGTGGCTAAGCCAGCCAATGTAATATGATCGGCTAGCTAATGCGGCTAAAGATAATATAATTTAGTATATAGTAGGATTCTAGTAAATTCTGAAAAGGAAAATAAATGAACATAAAATACAAGCTAAATTTATCGAAAATTTCCAGAAGTATGGTATTTAGCTAGCCAATTAGCTGATATTTTAGCCAGCTGGCTTAGCTAGCCGACTAAAACCTTACAGCTTAAATTACTAAGCTAGAGTACCCTCCGAATTACTCACAAATACCCACTAGTGATTATAGATATATAATAAACAATACTTTTTTCAACACCTTATATAGCAAATTTAAAGTTAGTATATCAATATAGTTATTGCACTTTGCAAAAAAATATGACCTCTATGGTGACTCTAAAAATTCAAATATAACTGATTGAAAAATATGAATTAATAGACATTTTAAAATAGCAAAATTTTACTTGATCATAACAATTCTATATAAAGTAAATTACAGAAAATCAGAAAGATTTTCCAGTTCTAAGAGAATTTTACATATTTTCAAATATTGTGGTTTGCATAATTTTGCAATCCATGATTAATTTTTTATAATTAAATGATCATAATTACGATTGTAATTGCTAAAGCTAGCCAATTTATTATAAATCTAAGTTTGTATCAAGTTTAGATTTATAATAAATTGGCTAACTTTAGCAATCATAATCATAATCATAATAATTAAATTAAAAAATTAATTAAAATTTACAGAATCTTATAGCATTGTGGTTTAAAGAAATTATATCTTTTTTTGAAGCACAATAAATATTTGAATTTATTAATAAATTTGTAATCAAAAAAAAAGAAAAAATTAAACTTAATAAATATTTTTAAAAAAGTACTTTATTTAAAATTGGGAATATTTTTATAGCACTATAGTGCCATGGCACTATCTTTATAATAAATAAATAATGTAGAATCATGTGACACATATTAACATAACACAACATTATTAATATATTCAATAAAAACAACCGATCGATGCTTTTTTTAGTGGTCGTCTAAAGTGATGCATAATCACGTGACATACGACCAATCAAATTATAGAATTTTGATGATCGCCAACGAAACAAAGGCGAAAAACTTGAAAAATACAAAAAATAGCATTCTAAACCTTTGGATGGGTTAGATAAAAATGTCGGGAAGGCAATTTTGCTTATATATAACTACCTAAAACCCGCTCTAACCCTACTCCAAGATGATCATAACCCTAAAGCTAATTTGATAAAATATATATGAATCTACCTCGCTTTAGACGTCTCCTTTTTTTATACATATCTGGTACATATATATAAAAAATCGATTTTGTGCAATTAAAATTAGCTGATGCCAATAATATCACGATCATGATATCTTGACGTACATACGTATGTACATACTTATGGTACAGAAAACCTAAAAATCACAATCTCGTGTGATACAAATTAGTACGGACATGCATACGTACGTATGTATGAACTAAAGCATCCTAAACCCTAACACAAAAAGAGGACATTATTAATGCTTTCCCTAACTCTAACTATAAAAAAGAGAGGGTACTTATAAAAATTGAATACAACCTGTACATACTATAAAAACTTAATTTTCGCAATCTGTAATGCCGTACAGTAATACTTTACTAACTCAACCTCTATATCGATATAGATATAACACCTAAAGTTATCGATCTCAATAAAGTTCAGAAATCTAAAATTCTCAACCTGCGTATAAATAATACTTCAATAAAAATCGAACTTAATGCTGTATGCCATTAAAAACTTGCCATTAAGAATGATAAATTTAGTTTGTCTTCAATGAGTTAATTATCTTTATTCTGATTGAAGTTTTGGATCATACAGTATTCAGTATAATAAGACCTCAAATGTAATTTAACAACATTATTGATGCAAAAAATATAACATTTACTACTTCTAGAACTAAATCAGACTAGTATAACACGAATGAACAAA